TTCAAAGCCCTCCAAACCACGCCCATGACCACCATTTTTAATCTGTTGACTACTGCATGGCCCTACAGTCTAGTCACCTCTTTAAGGCCCCACCTTTCAATTACCGTAATAGGATTTCTCACCCTCTTAACACTGTCGCAGTGGGGTTCCAATCTTAGGGGGACACTCAATCCAAGGCACTGCCCCAGACAGAATCAGTAGTGAGGAGGAAGGAAGACTAGGTGTTGGGTAGGCATCTAACAGATTCTGCCACATTGCCTAAGCCACCTGCTACTTTCGGGTTCCAATCTTAGGGGGACACTCAATCCAAGGCACTGCCCCAGACAGAATCAGTAGTGAGAAGGAAGGAAGACTAGGTGTTGGGTAGGCATCTAACAGATTCTGCCACATTGCCTAAGCCACCTGCTACTTTCTTCTGGCTGCCTGGCTGCTGCCTTCCATGTCTCCTCTCATCCATCCAAATTCTACATGTCCTATTTTCAAGTCCCAACTTCTTCCCTGACTTCCCTAGCCCACACTGATCTATGCTTCTTAGATATAGAACTTTTCGAGTTAGCAGAGGCATGAGAGTCTTGTAGGGTAGCCCCTCATTTTATGGAGAACTGATGCCCAGAAAATGACTTACCCAAGATCATATGGTAATGGTAATGACAGCAGCTACACGTGCTCTAGATATGCTGCTTAGCTAGTCACTTGACATAAATGACCATTTAACCCTTCCAAACCACCTCCCCCATGTAAGGTAATTATCACCTGCATTTTACTTATTAGGAAGCCATGGCAAAGAGATGTTAAGCCACAGGAATAGCCAGCTAGTGCGTGACACAGCCAGGCCCAGCACCTGCACTGCCTCCCTAACCTTGTACTGACTCCTACTCAGCTGACTGGTGTTGAAGATGAGATTAGAACCCCGACCTTCTAAACCTTAAATCACTGTTCTTTCCGCTTTGCTTTCCTGAGTTCTTACTGTTTGTACCTCTGTTTTTTGGTGCTTTTAGTTGTTCGTATGTATTTCTTACTGCCTGAATTTGACTGAATGTTTTTTAAGGCAGGATTTACCTCCTAACTAGCATCCTTACTTTCACTCTTACTTCTCCCCTAATCCTCACAGCATAGCTTGAGTGATCTTTTAAAAATATAAATCGGGGGCCGGCCTGTGGCTCACTCGGTAGAGTGCGGTGCTGATAACACCAAGGCCATGGGTTCGGATCCTATATAGGGATGGCCGGTTTGCTCACTGGCTGAGCGTGGTGCTGACAACACCAAGCCAAGGGTTGAGATCCCCTTACCGGTCATCTTTTAAAAATATATATATATAAATCGGTTTTGTCACTCCCACCTCAATCAATGGCTTTTTGTTACTCTTAGGCTAAAGGTCAAGATCCTTCACGTGTCCTGTAAGGACTGAGTTGCTTAGCCACTACCTCCCTCTCCAGCCTCATCTCACCTGCCTCCTTTCCTGTCTCACTTGTCCAATTAGCCACATGGCCATGGTTTAGTCTCCTCTTTATTTATTTATTTATTTATTTTTTGTCCTTTTTGAGACCGGCCACACCATGCTCAGCCAGTGAGCGCTGTGAGCGCACCGGTCATCCCTATATAGGATCTGAACCCGCGGCGAGAGCGCTGCTGCGCTCCCAGCACCGCACCCTCCCGAGTGCACCACGGGCTCGGCCCTTAGTCTCCTCTTAATCATCATGCACCTTCCTCCCACAGGGCCTTTGCACCTGCTGTTGCTACTGCCTGGTATTCTCTCCCCTCCCCTCCTTATCTCGTCAACTTTCATGCAGCCCTCGGCCTGGTCCTCACATGCTCATGAAGCTTCTCCAATGTGTAAGCTGGCATCACAGCACCAAGAACAACTTCTTGTCCTCTCCTTGACCAGACTTGTGGTCTGATGTTTATTTGTGTGATTATCTATCAGTGTCTATCTCCTCCACTGGATTATTAAGATCAGGCCATGAGTGATGTCTCTTTCAGCCAGTCTTTTGTCCCCACTGCCTACTATAGTGCCTGTCACATAGAAAGTGCTCAGTAAATATTTGTTGACAAAGAAATGACTATTTTATCTCTCAGCACCTAGGACCAAATTGAATAAAAACAGAATTTTAAAGAACACAAGTTAATGACAAATGCCACCATAACTACCTTATCTTCCAGCATTATGTGTAATTAGATTCTTTGAAGGAAGAGAGAGGGATACCAAAAAATTTTTGTAGAAATAATGGCTAAAAATTTTCTAAATTTGATGGAGTAACTATAAAACTACAGATTCGGGAATGACAAACTCCAAGCACATGAAACACACAGAAAATAACACCACGGCACATCATACTCAACTTGGTCAAAGCCAGGATAAACACAATTTTATTTTTCTGTATAATCTTTAGGCCTTTTTTTTTTCTTGCCTATCTAGGATCTCTCCTATATAATACTAACAGAGTAGTGAGAGCATGTATTTTTGCATGTTGCCCAATTTTAGGGGGAAAGCATTCAGTATTTCACCATGAAGTATGAGAATAGTTGTAGTTTTTCCACAGATGCCCTTTATCTGATTGGGGCAAGTCCCTCTTATTCTCAGTTCACTGAGAGTTTTATCATGAAAGGGATTGATGTTGAATATCTTTTTCTATACCCGTTGGCCATTTGTATGTCTTCTTTGGAGAAATGTCTCTTCAAGTCCTTTACCTATTTTTAAATTTTCTTATTTGCTTTTTTTTTTTCGTAATGGAGTTGTATTTAGAAATTAACCCCTTATCAGATATATGGATTGCAGATACTTTCTTCTGTTCTGAAGTTTGCCTGTTCATTTGGTTGATTGTTATCTTTGCGAGGCAGAAGCTTTTTAGTTTGATCTGGTCCCATTTGTTTATTTTTGTTTTTGTTGCCTGTGCTTTTCGCATCATATCCAAAAAGTCATCGTCAAGACCAATATCAAGGAGTTTTTCCCTGTTTTCTTCTATGAGTTTTACAGTTTCAGATCTTATTTAAGTCTTTAACTCATTTTCAGTTAATTCTTATGTATGATGTTAAGTAAGGGTCCAATTTCGTTCTTTTGCATGTGGATATCCAGTTTTCTCAATACCATTTACTGAAGAGACTGTCCTTTCCCCAATGAGTATTCTAGGTGCCCTTATCAAAGATTAGTTGACCATTTAAGTACAGGTTTGTTTCTGGGCTTTTTATCCCATTACATCATAGTTGAGCTCCTTTTGTTCTATAGCTAAGATCTTATGCAAGTGTAATTCAAGCATGGTTTTCGAAAATGCTCATCTTGAATTGTCTAGAAACCCACTGCCACGTACTAAATCCTTGATAGATGAAGGAACACAGGCTGCACGTGTCTGTAAGACAGGGAGAGAGAACAGGTGCTGAGTGATGGCTAGAGAACCGAGGCGGGCAAGGAATAAGAACAGAAGATTTGAATTAGTTGTGTCTTGTGAGGCTTGGAGTATTCTCTGTGTCTAGGGGGTAACATGTTCTCAAAATTCAGGGCATATTGGGGCCGGCCCAGTGGCGCACTGCTACAGTGCGCCGCTTGGGAGCGCAGTGGCGCTCCCGCCGAGGGTTCGGATCCCACATACAGACCGGTGCTCACTGGCTGAGCAAGGTGCGGGTGCAACACGGAGGGTTGCGATCCCGTTACCGGTCCTGGTCCGGTTCGGGCGCGACACTGAGGGTTGCGATCCATTGCCGCTCACGAAAAAAGACAAAAAGGAAAAAAAAAAAAAAATTCAGGGCATAGACCAAGGAAGATGGGGCGATCATCAGAGAGTGTAAGGACCCTGAAGGGGAAGAATGGGTCTACTTATCTCTCCTTGGAGAGTCTGCAAAAAGGGCCTATGTCCAAAGACTCCAGGCCAAACCTGCTGTGGGGTGAAATAGAAGAGAAGTGAGGAGTTATGTGTTAAAGCTGGGCTCGTTCAGGGCCGGCCCGGTGGCGCACTGGATAGTGCGCCGCTTGGGAGCGCAGTGGCCCTCCCGCCGCGGGTTCGGATCCCACATACAGACTGGAGCTCACTGGCTGAGCAAGGTGCGGGTGCAACACGGAGGGTTGCGATCCCACCGCCGAGGGTTCGGATCCCACATACAGACCGGCGCTCACTGGCTGAGCAAGGTGCGGGTGCAACACGGAGGGTTGCGATCCCGTTACCGGTCCTGGTCCGGTTCGGGCGCGACACTGAGGGTTGCGATCCATTGCCGCTCACGAAAAAAGACAAAAAGGAAAAAAAAAAAAAAATTCAGGGCATAGACCAAGGAAGATGGGGCGATCATCAGAGAGTGTAAGGACCCTGAAGGGGAAGAATGGGTCTACTTATCTCTCCTTGGAGAGTCTGCAAAAAGGGCCTATGTCCAAAGACTCCAGGCCAAACCTGCTGTGGGGTGAAATAGAAGAGAAGTGAGGAGTTATGTGTTAAAGCTGGGCTCGTTCAGGGCCGGCCCGGTGGCGCACTGGATAGTGCGCCGCTTGGGAGCACAGTGGTGCTCCCGCCGAGGGTTCGGATCCCACATACAGACCGGCGCTCACTGGCTGAGCAAGGTGCGGGTGCAACACGGAGGGTTGCGATCCCGTTGCCGGTCCTGGTCCGGTTCGGGCGCGACACTGAGGGTTGCGATCCATTGCTGCTCACGACAAAAGACAAAAAAAAAAAAGCTGGGCTCCATCAGACTCACCTGTTATAGTACAGAGTTTTGCAAACGCCTGCGAACCAAGGTAAAATAGATCTTGCCCTGGAAGTAGCAGCTGAGTGTGTGACCCTTTGAGCTCCTCCTCCAGGTGGAGAGGCAGGGACCACTTCATCCCCTGGGTGCTGGAAACAGCAGTGGCCCATCCGGGGACCCTTTCCTGAGCATTTTTGCCATGCTGTGACCCCACTGATTGCAGACCACAGCCAGCCCGCTCCGTGGACGCTTTGAGCCCACAGGCCTCGCAGTGTCTGCACGGTCCTGGGCAGAGGCTACCGCGGATCTTGCTCTAACCTGTTTCCTCCTCCCGCCAGGAATCCGAGGGCATCTCCTGCCATTACTGGTCGCTGTTTGACGGTCACGCAGGGTCCGGGGCCGCGGTGGTGGCATCGCGCCTGCTGCAGCACCACATCACGGAGCAGCTGCAGGACATCGTGGACATCCTGAAGAACTCTGCCGTCCTGCCCCCGACCTGCCTGGGGGAGGAGCCCGAGAACACGCCCGCCAACAGCCGGACTCTGACCCGGGCGGCCTCGCTGCGCGGGGGCGTGGGGGCCCCCGGCTCCCCCAGCACCCCACCCACGCGCTTCTTCACCGAGAAGAAGATTCCGCACGAGTGCCTGGTCATCGGGGCTCTCGAAAGCGCGTTCAAGGAAATGGTGGGTATCACTGGAGTGTCCCCGGCGGCACTTAAGCCGAATCCTTCCTTCTGGGACGGTTCCCTGCAGGTGTGTGGTCTCACTGCCTGGGTCCGCCTGACCCGTCCCTTTATAGCAGAGCTTCCATTCTCCAAAGAAGCTGGCAGCAAGCGAGAGTTCCCAGCCTTGGCTGCTGGCAAAACTTAAAAGGCGAAAGAGAGGAGGAGTGCATGAGGCCACAGGCTTACTAAGTATGGGCCTTATCGCTTCTGTTTCAGCAGACTCTGCTGATGGCAGCTGGTCCAATCCACTTAATTGAAAAGTGAGCGTGCCTACCGTCTGCTTTACATACGTGCATGAAGTCTAGGTATTTGGGGAAACAGGGCGTTTAGTCAAGTGCTCACAAGTACCCTGCCTGTGCAAATCTGAGACCAGCTGTTCTGCCACGATTGGTAATGGGGTTCACACTGCTGAAAATGTGGCCGCTGGGGGATAACAGACCCAAGGCTCAGTATCCAAGAATCATCAGTTTTACCTGGGCCCATGGCTTTGTTTGTACAGTTAAATTTGAATGGGTCTGATGAGGGAATTCAACATCCTGCCCCGTCAGCCTCACTCCTGAGAGTGTACACAGGGACAGTGCACAGCAGCCCTCAGCGTGTGGCTAGCCGTGCCCCTGACCCTTGAGAACGCACAAATCCTCTGCCGTGATCTGTATGACTCTCTTTCCTCTCCCAGCTCACTTTTTACTGAGACAATTATTTGGGTTCCGAAGACTTTCTTTCCTGCATGCTAGCCTGCATACGAGATATTTAAGGATGTTTAAAAGAAGTTAAGATGAGTGGGTGGTAGTGTCCTTAAAGCCTGGAGCTTAAACAGGGATGACAAGCTACTCAGTGAAGACAGGCATCTAGCAGCATCTCAGCAGAACTGTGTATACTCACTGCACATTCCAGGATCAGACGATGTCAGGTCGTGTGCTCATGAGAGGGAAAAGTAAATAGTAGTGATGAACGTTGTCATCTAATTTGTTTATAAGGCAAAATTAGTTTGTATATTTACACCTCAAATTTGCACCCTCTCCTTTCTTCGACTTATCTCTTCTTTGGTCCTAGCTTTTCTCTCCTTGTCACACAGATAATATTTACCTTTTGATTAGCAAGTGATTTAAAATGCACCTCTAGCTCAGGACTGTCTGGTAGCTGGCATCCCTGCGATCCCAATGAAAACACCAGGAAGCTGGGAAAGATAATTTAGGAAAAAAGAAATCAAGAAAGGAAAATTGACTCCCACTCAGGCTTGGTCTAAAATCTCATTCCTTGGCTCTCATAGAAGCTCTGATGTGAATGTGTTTCTAGACACTGAAGTTCAGAATGTTAAGTATTTAACTGAGGCAAAAATTTGGCAGTGGGCTCTCCCCGTAATGGGGGGGAAATAAGTCAGTTTATGTGGTAGAAGTGAAAAACAAAGAAGACTGGGATTTTCATTTCCTTCCATAATTGCTAGTGCCACAGGACATCTTTTACTTGGAATTGCTGTATTCTCAATTTTATCCACTAGGGGCCAATGTCACATTGATTCAGGCCTCTACAATGGTCTCAGGCTATTCCCACCAGTTAATGGCTCAGAGTTGCTAGTAACAACTCCTTGAAATAAGAGGTTCATTGAGAAAAATACTTAGTAAAGAGCCTCATTCTTGTCTTTCAAATTTTTTCAGCTTTTAATTCGCAAGTCCATTACCTAAAATTTTTATTGAAAATTTAGTTGCCAGCAAAAAAAAACAAAAACAAAACCCTTCACTTCCACATGTAATTTGTTCAATGAATAAATATTTGTCAAGAGCCGACTATATGGCAGGCCTGAATGGGAAAAGAACAGTGAACAAATTAGGCAAAGGTGGTATTAAACAAGTAAAATATAAATGGGAAGAGCCTTAAGAGGGGAGATGCAGGGTGAAGTGGGAGTCTGCTAAGAGGTGAAGGGAAGGGTTCCCTGGGAAAGCAATGCTTGTGTGTTGGGGGGGGAGTAAAGCAGTGAAGACAAGGGGGCTAGGAGAGTGCTCTGGGCTGAGGAAACCATCCGCGTGAAGAACCAAGTTAGAAAACCCAGGTGGGCCAAAGGCAACAGCTGACGTCCACCCGTGGTTAGAAGATGGAGTGCAAGGATAGGAATGATCACAAGGGGGCTAGGAGAGTGCTCTGGGCTGAGGAAACCATCCGCGTGAAGAACCAAGTTAGAGAGAAAACCCAGGTGGGCCAAAGGCAACAGCTGACGTCCACCCGTGGTTAGAAGATGGAGTGCAAGGATAGGAATGATCCAAGGTGCATTGGAGAGGCGGTCTGGACCCACCTGTGGAGGACCTGGTGTGTCACGTCATCAACTTTTTGCCATAAAGCGGGTCTCCATGTTTGTCCTCCTCTAATCCACCCCTCCCCCAGCTTCCTCTTCACGGTTTTTTCCCCACATTGTCTGTCTAGCCCCCAACATGCCTGTGGCCTGCCTGAACTGTGCCCCATGTGGTTGTCTTTATTGAGTGAGACCATTTATCAGTTGTTTGGTTCTCATGGTACTTGGTAGGGCGGCCATACCTCCTGCTTTGCTGGGGACTTAGCCAGTGGACACCTGTCTTGGGGTAATTATTAATATTGTCTCCTTTCACTCTCAAAAGTGTCCCTGGTTGACACTTGATCAGAAAGAGGTGATCTTGTTTTTCTCTATGTTTCATCAGGGACTTCAGAAAAATATTGACATCAGTTTCACAGAAACAATGCCCAACATAACAATTAAATTGCTTAGGGTGAGCTCCAGAACCTGCAACACAGAAGTCATACCACGTACTCTCAAAATGATCGCTCAGAAGACCATTGCCAACTCACACAGAATACTTTTTCTTTCCTCCCTCTCTCAAAATTAGGTTTCTGAGAGTCATTGTCTCAAGGTAACCCTTTGGTTTTTTGAAATGCCTGACGTGTAACTGATTTCCTTATCTCGTTAACCTGATCTGTTGGGCTCCACTCCAACCCTTTCAGAGAGGGTCAGCTTTGGAATTTCGAGGCCATTCCTAAACATTTTTTCACAATAGCTAGCTACTTTCTAGCTTTCCTGTTTCTAGGTATTCTTTAGGTATTGCAGGGTTTGTGCTATTCTGATCTCCTATGATAGGAAAATTCAGTATTAAATAAGATTGTCACACAGCATTTCAGCTTTGAGGCACTCTTGCTTTCTCTCCCACTTTTAATCCCTAAAAGTAAAGTTCCTCTAGCCTGGTGCCTAAGCCTCTAATTTGCCTCACTGATGACATTTTTGCAGCCATTCCTCCTGAGATTCAGAATGTCACTTACAATATCTTTGAAGCTTCTCCTTCACTGAGGCTTTGCTGTATTTATAGTAGTACAGCCATGTGGAATCAGAGTTCTTTGGACCATCTCTTTGTCTCTCTGTCTTGTTCTTCTCAATCACAAGTATTATTGAGCTTACATTTTATAATCAGCAATTTTCCAGAGACCACAGAGGATAGAAGTAAAAGATCTTATATCTGGGCCCATTTGCAGTTACACTTCATGTAAATATAGAAATATGCAATATCTCATTTATTTTGATGTTGTAAATAACATTAAAGGAGGTAGTGGAATGTCGATATCTACCCGAAAGGGAGAATGTGTTCAAAATGTTCAGAAACACCAACCCAGAATAAATAGTATCTATTTCTGGGAAAAAGTAGGTACTGCTCACAAAATATAGAGGGAAAAAATGCTTCCCACAGGGAAGGTGGTAACAGTTTCATCAAATACTATAAGCTTGTGTGTGAGCACTGCTCTCTGTTTTGATCCTTGGGTTTCCTGCCTCGGCGTGAGGCTTGTGGTGAAGGTGACCACTGGCGTTTAATACTGTACATGTTGTCAGAGGCAGAGTTACCTTATGACCCCCTTATTGTGTCTCATCTTGAATCTTCCTTCACAGTGAGAAGGCTATGTAGCCAGTCCCTCCTGTGTCCACTGTGGAAAACGAACCATGGCTTCCTAAAGGACCAGAACCTCAGGGACTGACTTCAGTTCCACTTCCCAACAATGCTTTATAACAGTGCCTGGCCTAACAGCTAAGAGTTGTCACCTGTTACGTTTAGGTAGCTGCCTGGCCCAGGTCGATAGATGTGAATAAGAGAAATGTCTTCTAAGTCCTGATTTCACATCTCCTCCCTACTTCCTACCCTTCACCACCTCCAAAAAAATAATTGAGTAGTCAACATTTCACACTCATGGAGGAAGTCAATTTCTTTGTTAGGACAGGTACAGGAGGACTTTGCCCTCCCTAGGAATCGAAACCAAGTCAGCAGTGATTAGCCTGTCACCTACAGGATTTAAGTTCTGGATGTAGCCAGGAGGATCTCAAAAGTCTGTCCTATTTCCTTTTCAGTATGAGTATAGATTCCCCACCACAATGAAAAATGTCGTAGAAGTTGAATTATTAGGAAGGGAGAAAAATGGCAGTGTTTTAACTTGAGAAACTACCATACATCTGATTACTGAGTGAGTGGTTGGAAATGCCAGGCAGCATGGCTTTGTCTGTAAAAACCATTATTCATAGTTTATAAATCCCAGTGTTTTCTAAATTAGCATATTAATGGTAAATTGGGAACCTGCTTGTCTGTCTTGATTTAAGCTAGAGTTTTTTTTGTCTTTGTTTTTGTTAGAACAGGAAGTTCCCCTAGGAAGGAATAAGCATGTGCTTCCACTAGCAGCCAGCAGGTGGCAATAATTAGGCAGTATTGGCTTTTTTCTTCCCCACTGCATGGCTGGCAGATGGCCTTGTTCTCAGAATAAACCAGGATCAGACCCGGATACTAAAACCATGCAGAATCTTATTATTTGTGACTGACACTATTAGCAGTGTGCCCAGAACCATATTTTAACCCAGCTAGGGGGAGCTGCCAGGTCCTATTGAGACTAACCAACATTCTCTCCCTTCTGCTGTCTGATACTGCTTTCCTTTTGCAACCTGAAATTGGTAGGAAACAAAGAATGACCCTGGAGTTGCATCATCTGCAGGAATTTGAAACCAAATTACAACCGTGCCGGACAGTGTAATTTTTTCTTGCAATTCTTTCCTGCTGAATTAGTCTGACTGCACACACGTTTCTTTTTTCCTTCTCTGCTCCCTCTCCTCCTTTTAACAAAAGTAGCAAAATAAAATCCCAGGTCTTAAAAGTTGGATCTATTCTTTAAGTTAGACGTGTGCCTAGCTTATGTGTAATATTTAAGCAGACACAACACAGGATTAACACAGTCCTGATAAGTAGAAAGTAGCCTTGAGAGGTCTTTAGGACCCTTGATTGAGCAGATAAATCAACTATCCTGTTAATCGAAACTTATGAGTCATTTAAGTGATCCTTTTAGACCATACTTGAAAGGCATGGTAGTATGTGCTTGTGTTTTGCTAGTAAGTTACTCTAGAGTTATGTCTTAGGGTTCGTTGACAGCTAAAATGGGGAAATATTCCAAATAAGTCATTATTTTGCACCAAGCAGTAGGCAGTTTCTCCCATGATTTTATTGATTTGTGAAAAAGTACTCAAAACTTGAAGGGTTTAAAAAAAATAATAGTTACATATTTTTATTTATATTTTACTTGGAGTGTAAAGAGCTTAAACTAATTGAAAGGTCGAGGATTTGAGGAAGAAGAGTAGTTAATTCAATGGTACATATATCTTTATTGACTTCATTTATCATGTTTGATCTGATAGTAAAAGAACTACCCAGATGGTCTTTTAATGTTCCTTTCAGTACTAAGATTTTGTGAAACATCTTTTAAAGAGGAGTAGGTGGTGTATGTAGGAAAAAATAAATGTGCTATTTTGGCTTCTAAGGAGGAGGGGAGGGAAGCAATTATTTTTAGAGTATGTTCTAGTTGAGCGCAGTTTTATGAGAAACAGAAGAGTGTGTTTTAATGTCAGTGAATCCTTCAGGGGAACGAAGTCTACAGATTTACATCTTTCAAATCCTTGTCACCATGATCGTAGAGAGCACACTTGTAAGTAAACTGTGTGTGTGTTTGCACATGTGTATTCCCACACAAATGGGGGGGGTAATGAAAATATACACATATTAGCAAAGTCTAAAAAGTAGTTAGACTTTAGTCCAGTCTCTATGAGAAAATGGTGCCAAACTTAGCATTCCTTATTTGGCGGGGGAAGGGCTACAGAAGGAAGGTAGGTGAAATGCAGAAAAAGGTGAAAGGAAAAATGGAATCAACTAGAAAAAAAATATTGAATCACACTCTTAAGATCATAGCAAGGAATTAACAGTGAGCTAACTGGAATGATTCCCCCAAATTAAAGGCAAATAGGAACTCTGCTGTAGGGGAAACTCTTAACTGTTGAGCACTTTACCTTGATTTTTTTCCCCTAAGTATTAAATAATTTTGTAACCAGATTTCCTTGTGATATAAACCATGACAAATAGTGCACCTGCCTACGATGCAGAATAAACTTGTTGATGTGAGTCCCAGAGAAATTCTTTGCCAGGAACCGCTCTTTTACATGAACTTTGTGGATGGCACCAGTGATCTAATTAAGTCTGTCAAACACCATTCACGTGTCAGTCCGTAAACAGCATGCAAGCAGTTGGGTGCCCAAAGAACTTTTAATAAAACGTGTCTTTCATTCAGTTATTAGGTATTGATTCTGGTTGTGAAAGGATAGTTTCTATAGCTACAGCAGTTCCTTCCAATGTATTAAAAACAGTAGTATTGAGTGTGGACTTTATATACCAATTTATATAGTTAATGAAATATGTACCTACCATAGTATGAACTCTACTTGAGTTGTTTAAATGCAAAAAAATAATAACAAATTCACCCACAAACTTCATTATAGACAGGGTTGATAGTTCTGTTTTTATGCATTTATTTGGAGGTTAAACAAACAAATTTTCTGACTTCTTGATGTTTTCTGTCTCCTCTCTTTCACTTCCTTGAGATCGTCCTGGCACCTGACCCTGACGTTCCCGCCCCCTCCCTCCCCACGCCCTCCAGCCTCCAGCCACTCTTGTGCAGGTTCTGACAAGCATTTGCTCATTCTCATCAATTGACTGCATTTTAACTGTAGTGTGGGTTCCTGCTTTATTATCTCAGTGAGCATTTGCATCGTAAGCTTTTTATTTGTGACTTGTGGAATCCATTTCTCATATTAAGGCAGAAGTAAGGTGACAGGGAGAGAATCTAGAAACCCAGACATTTTAAAATAAATTTCTTCATTTGTCCATCTAACAGACATTTATTAAGCTGCCATTTACCTGGCCTGGGTTGGGTGTTGACGGTCTAATGCGAGAAGAGAAGGTCACTGCTCTCTGTCATAGACCTTCCAGGTGCTGGAAGGATCTGGATGGCTAGTACAGCCCCTCACACATGCCATCGAATTTAATCCTCATGACAGTCTTTTAAGAAAGCTAATTTATACAGAGTTTCAGGAGATGTAAAAATTCATTATAGTCCTCTGAAGGCAGTGCTCATGCCTGACCCTTCTGCAGCTTTAGATGCCACTTTCCTCTCCGTTACTGAAGTTTTTCCCACTTTGACACTACCTCCTCTCACACACTTACATGCTTGCCCCTCTGTCTGGCTCCTCAGCCCCTCTGCCCCTTACCCAGTTCACTCCCACGATGCTGGTTTCTCCTAGGTCCCGTCCTTGTATTTTCACCTGTATGCTATCTCTAGTCTGTATCCTCAGCTCGGGCTCTTCTGCTTCCAGTTTCCCATTGGTGATTTGTCTGTCTTTGTTTTACCATCCCTGGCCCCTGGAGCAGAGCAGTTGCTGGTAAATGTTGGATTATTGGATTCTCTCCCCCTTTTCCATGAGGAGGCTGGCTGAAGCAGCTGAATCCTAATTCTTTGGGTTTCTAAGGATCACAAAAGTGTCCTGGCCCTCGTTCTGCCAATGGCATTGTCAAAATCAGCCAGGGCACCATTTCTTCCTCTTCCCGAAATTTTTACCCACTCTTCATTCTCCTTCCCTCTGCCCCAACAGTAGTAGATTTCTACTGGAATTTTTGCCACTATTATAGCTTGACATTCAGTGTATTTTCCTAACACAACTAGCATTTTTCTGAGATCACAGAACCCTTGCTTCTGTTGCTAACACAAAATTTCACAAAGGCATCTGTCAATAGAAGCATTGATCTGTTTTTAATTTCGTGGGGAGGCCTCATTAGGCGGCTGCTAACAATACAAGCTTTGGAGGAGGGAACCAGGTTGGAACCCAAACGCTAGCCAGGTAAATATGGGCAGGCTACCCTACTTCTCTACATCTGAACAATGAGGTTAACAGTGATGGTTGTGAGGATAAAATGAGATTCTGTATGTGAAGTGCTTAGCACACTTCCCGACGTAGGGAAAGTACTTAGTGAATGTTGTCTGTTAGTGTGAATGTGTCACCATTGTGAATTGGTAGCCATGAGGAGAGAAGTCAGATCAGAGTTCAGAAGCATATATCTTTTGTGTGTAAGTCATGGATTGACTCCTGCCTGTGTTGAATAGAAAACACCTTTCTTATCTAACTATAAAAGAGACTATTTGGGACTTTGGGTTAAACATTGATCAGGTCAAAGTAGTATTTGGCGTTCTCAGCCTCCCGATCCTGTGTTCCGCATGCAGCTCAGGCAGTCTGTAATCTGTGATATTTATTGGATATGATTCACATTTTCTTTTCATTTTTGTCTGATTGTATCTGTTTGCTATCCTTTGTTTCCTGTCTCTGGTCCGCAGATGGTCGAGTAAAACGTGCCAGTTTTATGCCATTGTCCTCTCCAGAAATGCACATTAGGTGGTAGAAAAACAAGTACTAAACATTTTCTTGTCCCTTCTTGAAGCACATTCATACTCTTAGGACTGTGGCATGGGAGTGAGGGTTAGAAAGCCTTTGATACATGTTGTTCCTGCACAGTCCAGCACTAACTTTGTTTTCTTCTCCAGGACCTACAGATAGAACGAGAGAGGAGTTCATATAATATATCTGGTGGCTGCACGGCCCTCATTGTGGTTTGCCTTTTGGGGAAGTTGTATGTGGCCAATGCTGGGGATAGCAGGTAAGCAAATTAGCTGTCTGGTTCTTCCTGGTTTCTAATCATACAAATTATTAATTATCTTCTAATTTTTATATTTCCTTAAAAAATTAGATGATTAGAAATAAAATAACTCTGCTAGGATTAGGTGTTGACAAAGATAAGTCTTCTACATCACAATGAAAATTCATTTAAGAAGAACAGTCAGGTTGGAATTAAAAGCTAAAGGCAGTTTTCTACTTGTCTGTAGCCGCAGTTCATGGATATGCCTGAGATTAGTCTAAACCAGTAGTATTCAAATGTCTTTTGGCTTCAGAACCTGTTTTTCAATGTAACCGTAGCAGAGGCATAATATGTGAGATTGACCGTGGGGGACGAAAGAGATTTGAATGAGGCAGGTATCTGGAGGGGCACTTGGGAGGACTCCCCAGCTGATTCCACTTCCACTCGGTGACTTTGCACTGTCCCCTTCCAGAAACCCAGAAGTTTCTGCTTTTATGCACAAGCCCTTAGAGGCTGTAGTCCCCTCTTTTCTGAGTTCAGCTAAAGGGAATTTTGGCCAAGAGATCATAGTTAACCCTACTATATCCAGCATTGCCAGAGAATAAGATAAACTTGTGTTTTAATTTTATTTTCAGTAACTGATGCTTCTTCACTTTTGGTATGAGGAATTTTTAAGTTGCAGACTTTATGAAAAGTATTGTAATATGTATTATACACTTTATCTCTTTAGTAACAAAATCTGCTGGCTATATAGCAGGACCTTTTCCTAAAGATTGGCTGTTTATTCTGAAAGTAACAAAAGTACTGGGCTGGAAAGGCGGCTTCCTCAGAGGCTGAGCAGTTTCCCCCCCAGGGCTGCGGTCTTAGGATTTGCTCATTCCTCTGCTGCATCCTCCAGGTCACGTGCCTCTGCTCAGCCCTCCTGCTTGCCCTGGCCCTCCTTGAGGTCCAGGCCCCCCCTCCCTTCCCTGTCCCCTGCTAGCTTGCTGCTGCTGCTGTCTCTCTAGCCTGGAAGACCAATTCCCTCGAGGCAATCAGGAAAGTCACCTTAATTTTACTGCTCTTTACAAGGCCAAAGACTTAGTCCGCTCCTCCTCATAAAGCATTCTTTCCTGGTCTTTCCCACGGAAGATCCCAGAGAGCAAAGGAGAGTGAATTGCCAAGGCAGCAGTTCATGGGTTTGAAGATTGATGTTTTTTGAAGGTCCATTTATTTTGAAAGTATATGTGGATTTTCCATTTTACTCCGTAAGATGTCTCAGGTTTCACAGTAAAATTTTACCGAGTAATGGAAGTATGTGTAAGATGCTGTGTTTATCCCCTGGTGTCTGTTCACCGTGTCAAGTCAGGGTTCTGGCAGGAGGCAGACTCCAGCTCACATGGGTCAACTGTGAAAGGAGGAGTAAAAGGGAAGTGGCCAGGGGTCTCGAGGCCCCAGGAAGGAGTTGACCCCCCAGGCCTGCAGGGACCAGGGGAGGAAATGCTGTAGCAGAGCCCCGGGGAGGAAAATTTTACCGAGTAATGGAAGTATGTGTAAGATGCTGTGTTTATCCCCTGGTGTCTGTTCCCCGTGTCAAGTCAGGGTTCTGGCAGGAGGCAGACTCCAGCTCACATGGGTCTGGAAAGGAGGAGTAAAAGGGAAGTGGCCAGGGGTCTCGAGGCCCCAGGAAGGAGTTGACCCCCCTAGGCCTGCAGGGACCAGGGGAGGAAATGCTGTAGCAGAGCCCCGGGGAGGGGGAGCCACTGTGAGGGGCCACTGGGCAGGGGCTGCAGGAGGGAATGGGAGGAAATACTCCCACTTCTCTCTCTTCCCTCGCTTCTGTCTTGTCTTTGTCTGATTGGCTCAGCCAGGTGGAAGCCAGTGGACAAATAGCCCAGGGAATGCCACTCGTAGAGGTCAGCTCACCAGGGCGTAGACACAGGCCAAGACTGTGTCTCCAGGACCAGGGCACGTGGAAAATAACCAGCATGTCTGTCATTCCTTCTTTCCTTCCCTGCCCCAGGATTTGAGCAACTCCAGCATAGGGGTCCTGAGTTTCAGGGGCTTTTAAAACACACACCGAGGGGCCAGACACTGGCCTCTTATTCAGTCCTGGATCTTGAGCGTGTTGAGAGACAGACAAGCAGCTAAGGCGGCTCTTCTCTGTTTCAACTGGATGATTTGGCTGTTGTGCTCACCTTTTGCCTTTATGTCTAGTTCCGTGTCCTTTAAAATGAGTTTGCTCTTCTAGCCCATCTAGTGACTAAGGCAGTGACCTCAGGCCGTGCTCCCTGCCCCTCACTCCCAGGGGAAGCACCTTTCACTGGATGTCCTCAGACTCAGAAGTAACCCGACTTCTGTGCGCAGGATATTTTTATGTTAGGTTATCCTTTTTCTAGTCTTAACCACTCCTCAACACCTTTTCCTCATTTTTAAGCATAGTTTTCTTCAAAACTCCAAGCTCCTTAACAGAGCCCCTACCTAGCCAGGGCTCCTAATCCTCCATCCCAGAAGATCTGGTCCCCTTGTCTAGGGACCTGCCAGTCCCAGGTGCTCATTTTCTGGGCTCTTTTCCTTTTCTTTTTCCTTTAGTGTCAATTTCCAGAGCAGACCTCGATTTCCTTATCTATAAAGCTGGTGGTATTGGACTAGATAATCTCTAAAATTTTTGGTATTCTAATGATTATCCTGTGAGGAGCAACACTTTTGGAAAGTGTGAAGTGGTGCTATAAAGGTTGATCTTTTGGTTATTGTATATTTCTTAGAGTCAGTTTTTGAAATTTTAATAGAACTGAGGTTCTTGTGTTTGTAAGTGTCTATAGTAAGTATGATTTTTGCATGTTATTCCCAATAATTTGAAAATCCTACCAGGTACTTTTATCCTTAATAAAGCTCTAAAGCACCAAAAAAACCCCAGTTTATCCTATGATAGAACCATACTTCTAAAATCAAATAAGCTTAATTACTTTTATTGTATTTTGGCTGCAGTATCCAGGTATGAATCTTGGGGTTTATAGCTGCTTGGTTGGGTTTGCTATTCACATATGGATCATACAGTTCATACAGAAACCTAAGAACAATATGAGTTGGTATTTATATGTGCTATCCAAAGGATCACTTATAGGACTCATTAGGGTGTTATTTGCAGCTTTTTTATAAACAGTAGACACTTGATATCACTTTATGTAGGATCACTGTCTAGTTTATTTATTAATAATGTATTTGAGTTTATAAAAATATTCAGTTTTTCCCAAGAAACAACAGAGTGAACTTTGGTCCTACTTGTGTATGCAGGTCCATTATCACTTATGAATAAGCAATCAGGAATCCCAGGGCTGAGTTTAAACAAATGATTAGAGCCAACAGAAGATTCTAGCCACAGAGCCCTGATTAATTAAGTGCTAATTTTTCTTTCTAGATATTAGTTGCCATATGTTTGCTTTAAATATTGAGTTTTGATAGTGAAAGTAAATCTTTGTTGTCCATTCACTACCCCATAATTATTCACACTGAGGAAGAGAAGCAGTGCTAATTTTTCTTTCTAGATATTAGTTGCCATATGTTTGCTTTAAATATTGAGTTTTGAGAGTGAAAGTAAATCTTTGTTGTCCATTCACTACCCCATAATTATTCACACTGAGGAAGAGAAGCTTGCCCTGGTTTGATGTGGAAGCTGCTGGTGGTCAAGAACTACTTTCTAACCCACTTGGCTATGTATCATCGAGTTTACCATCAGGCATATGCATGCTCGTGGGCTGTATTTCAGGAAAAACTGCTTGATGCTGTTTGTGGCTTTTGAAATTTTACTGTAACTGAGGTTCCTGTTTTTGAGTCGAAGACCTCTCTGTGTAAGATGATCCATCCACAGTGATGCAGGTGACTGGTCCATGTGGTCTTGTCCACAGCCTGGCACAGACCTGCCTTTCCCTACTCAGCCAAGCAAACCAGCCGTAGAGGCACACACAGTAACTGCTAGATGCATGCCAGATGCTTTGTTTTTCCCAGGCAAAGGCAGCCAACTCAACACCTAGGGGATCATAAGGGACTAGGCAAGACGCAGATGGTGGGCGGATTTTCTCTTCAAGCAAAACTGAACCGGTAGCTTGCAAATGTCATGCAAAGAATATGCAAACTATCATCCATTGTGTTTGAGTCATCAGCTCCTTAGGGCTCTTAGTGATTCTGCAGTTTGGGAGGGTGCTTTGACTCCATTTTAGAAGATAATTTCTTTCTTTCTTTTTTTTTTTTTTTAGAGAATTACGGCACTGAGGAAGCAAAGTTATTACCACTTATTTCAAACAATGTCTAAAGGTTTGGCAACTGAGACTAAGTGAACTCATTCAGATTAAAGAAAGCCATTTAAGATTTATTAAATTCTTAATTCCAGTCTTGCCAGACCCTATAGTAACAGCAGCAATAAGACAGCGAATAAGTGCTATGCATGTATTAAATACTGCAACAGAGTATCAGTAATATAGTGAGTAGTTTACCAAAAAATGAACTGAGGCAAGGCAAGATGAAGCAATTTGCCCAACGTCTCACAGCTACTGAGAAGTGGGACTGCCATCTAGCCCAGAACCAGAGTCAAAGCACCATGTCCTCAATCTCTGCACTGTACCCTGGGATTTCCCATCCATGCCGAGACTCTTGAGGCTTTTTTGTTTTTCTCATTTTAACATCTCTAATCAAGAACTTCTAATTCACATTTTCTCCTTCCTATTTGCATATAAAATTATGGCACGCCTTATAATCAATGGCATCTTAGATTTCACCTAAAATGGATTATGGGGTATAGGTGCGTGCATGGCTGCATTTAGAGGCTATTTTAAATGCATTGCATAGTCAAGTAAGTAAGCTTTGGGTGGTCCAGCTCTTTCATTGTAATACAGAAAAAGATATTTTTTTCAAAATGAGGGCTGCTGTCTCCTTCCAGGAGTCCCAAAGTTCTGAGGCCATTTTAAATTTTGTGTTTTCATTTTTTATGATAATCTATTGAAAATTCAAACATTTTCTGGATCTTCTGGATGACTGTTCTGTGAATG